AAAAGTGTCCTGTCTGCTCCGAGTGCTGCTTTCCTGTCTGACACCCTGGGAGACTGTGAAGCTGCCACTTGACACCTTGAGTTAGTTCTCATTCCTGTGGGAGTTGTCTCCGGCCTTCACCAGCTCTCTTCCTAAAGTTGTGAGGAACTATTTGAAACTGCTCTAACACAACTATAAAAATCATTAACTTCAGTCTTTAGTTCTTTATAGGTTCTCAACCATTTTAGTTTGCAATACTTATCTTATGAATAAGTATTTCAATTACCACGTTTCACTAGTGATTAGAGAAAAAGTCAGTATCGCTGTTTGGTATCACTGAGTGAGTAGCAAGTCTTGCTGTGGATCTCCCCTTCCCAGTTTTGCATGCAGTGAGGGAGAGCATAAAAACAACAACAACAAAAATAGAAACATCTAGGTTAACATGTCTAAGATATTTCTATGGAGTCTGGGTGGTGCCAGTGGTTTGTGATGGGCTGCTAACTGAAAGGTAGGTGGTTTGAACCTACTCAGCAGCTCCGCGGAAGAAAAGGCCAGGTGGTCTGCTTCCATAAAGATTATAGCCAAGAAGACTCTATGGAATAGTTCTACTCTAACACATGCGGTTGTCAGGAGTCAGGGGTTGGCTCCATGGCAGCTAACAACAACAAAAACAAGATATTCCTTACATTAATCTTATAGTATTTTTCGATTTTAATAAACAATTACATAGTACTTTGTATTGGCCAGATGCTGTTCTAAGCGTTTTCATTAATCCTCATCATAATCCTATGAAGTAAGTACCATTATTATACTCACTTTATAGATAAGAAAACTGAGATACTGAAAGGATGTTAATTCAAGCTTGTAAGTGAAAAAGTCAGTCTTTGACCCCAAGAAATCTAGCTCAACCACTACACTATGCTGTCTCCTAGGTATTTTTCTGGGAAATGTGATATTTTAAATGGATTAGTGTATTAGTTTCCTAGGCTGCTGCAACAAAATATCACAAATTAGGTGGCTTTAAACAACAGAAATTTATTGTCTCACAGTTCTGGGGGCCAGCAGTCTGAATTCAGAGTCTCAGCAGGGCCGTGTTCTCTCCGAAGGCTCTAGGGAAAGATCCTTTATGTCTCTCTCAGGTTCTGATACCCTAGGTGTTCCCTGGTGTGTAGATACATCATCACATGACTCTTTTCCCTCTGTCTATCTGTGTCTCTTCTTTTTTATAAGGACACCATTCCAATGGGATTAGGACCCACCCTACTCCAGTATGATTTCGTGTTAACGGATAATATCTTCAAAGACCCACTTTCCAAACAAGGTCCTGTTCACAAATACCAGGATTTCAATATTTCCTTTTGGGGGACAGTATTCAACCAGTAACAATTTGTTTCTCTACAAAACGTATGGCAATAGAGCTTCGGAAGTACTTGGTTTTGATAAATTATTTTAAATTATAATTTTTTGAATGAACATTAATATTATGATTCTAAAAGTTAAAATTTCCACAATGTGAAACTTTTTTTCCTACTTTGAGTTATCAAGTGCCTTACACCTAAAGAGCATGTAATTTTTTTTTAACTATCAGAACTGTTTGGAGCATTAGAAAAGGCTGTTATTGTTGTTGTGTGCTACTGAGTTGAATCTGACTTATAGTGATCCTACAGGACAGAGTAGAACTACTCTATAGGGTGTACAAGGCTGCAGTCTTTACAGGAGCAAATTGACAGGTCTTTGCGCCTGCAGAACTGCTGGTGGATTCAAACCACCAGTCTTTCAGTTAGCAGCCAAGCACTTACCCATCGCACCACCAAGGGTACTTTTAGAAAAGGTAGACTATCATAAGTATTTCATTTCTGATTTGGTCACATATACAAATCCTATTCTGGAAAAAAAAAACATTAAAAAATAGAAAATATAGAAGTTCCATTTTATCTTTACTTTTAGAGGAGACCATATTGTTGCTTTAGTTTTATTTTAGGTCTATGCACAATTGTCTAACTTCATGTGGTTATGATTCTCTCTAATTCTAGACTAAATTAAAAAAAATAGCAAAAGAGACTTTGATCTGCAAAGAGTTGTCCAAACTTTACCAAGAAATGTTAAATATATTAAAAATGTAAACACTATGGTTTATTTGAGTTTTAGTGTATACTAAATAAAAGAAAATGTTTGCTAGCTCAGTTTTAACTGCAGTGCCCTAACATTTATAAATCCGGTTCTTTGTTGTTTGCTGATTCTGCTAACTGGAAGAAAGATCATGAAACCGAAATTAGAGCAAAAGTGAGAAGAAACTGAAAGGCTGTCTGTCGTCTTACGGTTCACATTCTGAAAAGTGCTCAACAAAGAAGAGTGTGAACAGATATTTCTTTGGGGCCAAATAGATTAACGTCTGCAGAAAGAAAACATCTACTAATAGGTTCACTGATTAAGGTCATACTTCCAGTGATACTGTAAAGGATGATCATTTGTTGGTTTAAGAAAAAGCTAAAATCTAAATATTAACCAATATTAGATGGAAGTATGGTGTGAGATTGAACCTCTAAGAAAAGCTAGGCTTACACTGGTCAGTTTACTCACACTGGTAAAATTCAAACTGAATGTCAGTAATGAATTTCATAAAATTAAGAGATTTTATAACCCCAGTTAATAAAATATACATATATATATGCTTCAGAGTAGATAGATAAACAAAACTCATACAGTTACTAAGAGAGGTTCCCTCTTCTCCTGTATTAGACAAAATTTGGGAATTTTCCATGATTTTTCTAGAAAAATGGGAAAGGATAGTTTAGGTCAGCGATTCTCATACTTTAAAGAGCTTATGAATCCCACAGGGATATTGTTAGAAATCAGATTCTGATTCATTGGTTCTGGGGTGAGGCCTGAGACTGCATTCTTAACAAGCCCCAAGTCAAAGCCAATGCTACTGGTCTGAGGACCACATTCTGTGCAACAAGGCCCTTCAAGCACCTGGGAACATCTTCTTGCCACCTTAAACATTTACAACTGTGTACAACATGAACATTTAGATGGCACAGTCTGTAATGTCAGAGAGAGTAAAGATCATTTTTCTTTGATACAAAGTGTAGGTTAGAATAAGACTTATTCTAAAAGTTCTATAATCTGCATGCAGCCCGTTTCCTGTATCAGCACCTCAGTGCTCCCCTTCCTTCAGTGTTAGACGTATGCAGGACATACTACAAGGGTGCATCAGGTAACTTGTGGTGCAGGTGGCCCTCCACCCCCACTCCCCCACTACCTGGAGAATGCTGAGCCAAGAGCTCGGGAAACCATCAAATCCTAAAGGGAGGTTTTATTGGTGTATACCTTGGAAATAGTGTCTTGCTTTCCTTGGGTGACACTTATTTCTTTAATTCTAGTAATCCAGTGATTTTCTGCATCAAATTCATAAACTGAAATATAGGTTGGTGCTCTAACCCTCTAACCTGAACTCAGAGCATTGACCTAGTTATTTCCTTTCTCTCCTTTTGTCACCCCTTCTCCATGTGCCTTTGGCAAGGCTTCAACCACCTCCAGACAGTCGTGCAAACCAGAGGCGTCAGAGACTTGAAGGAATGTTAAGTACTCTGATTTTCCCCTCCGAGCGACATCTGAAAGCAAATGCAAGTTTAAGTACCAGTTTACTGCTCTAAAAAATGTATCGATTATACAGGACATTAATTATGGCTGCTGGCACCTATATGTTCCTGCTATATTTTCTGTCCCTGGAGGTTTGTTGGCAGGCATTTGAATCACTTTAGTACATTCTAGCATCATGGGGGATACTGATACAACTGCCTGAAAAACAAGGAAGTTGCTATGCACCAGATTTGAGCCAATTGTATGAGGGGATGCTTCCCGGAGGAGCGACTGTGTGAAACTTTGGTGTCTTTTGGCTTCTATACAGCAAGACAAGGCTTGCAAGTATGTTTACTGCTTTCTCTGGGTTACTGGGAAGGCATGGTTACCAACATTTGGAAATATTCGAGTAAATGAGTTATTTTTGGGATGAAAACAGTTTTTGCTGCACTTCCTGGGCCATGGGACTGATATGTATTCGATGGGACCGATATGGCCTACTTGCAATTGTCACCCCATTTCTTCAAATAATAGAAAACTACTAACAAACACTGATTCAGCGTCCATTCCATTCGTGAAAAAACATGGCATCATTGAAAAATTAAAAAAAAAAATTCAGCCTTTAAAGGGTTAAGTAGACACTCATAATGGTTTTTTAATGATTTAAGCATTCAAAAATGAAATATTTAGAGAAACAGATTCCGCCTTGCTGAGAAGTAATACTCAAACCAAATATTTAGCACAGGTGTGACATCATCACCAAACTGCTTCCCCAGTTCCCTTCACCTGCAACAGATCCAGATGGCTAATTTAGTGACCACTGTGGTTTGGTTTTAGACCAAGTTTTATGGACTCCATCTACTACTTATCTGAGAAGCCTCAAATGCAGTCTGCAGACAGTCCAAAAACACACCCTATGACACAGAGCATCCTTGCATATCTCAAAATAAGTCTAGCAGTCTTAAAGTTGTTTTTCTTTTTTTTTAAACAATAACCTACAAAACATTTTAATTGTCAGGACAGCACTTTGTATAATGGCTACATAAATAACGTCCTCCAATGTCATATGAGTGAATGTCATTCTAGTATAAATTGTTCATTCCATAAGGACAGTGATCATGTTTTTTTGTATGCGTATGGTAAAAATAAAGCATGTGTCCATTATTTATTAGGATATCAACCAATGTTTGTGAATGAATGTATATGCTAGGACTAGGTTTATGCAGTTTTACCTTCATTTTCATGATGACTGAATTGATACACAGTATCTCCCTATCAAGGAAGAAAAAGAACTCTTCGGTAATGCATTATTTATTATATTGTGTGGGCACAGCCAGTGAACATATATAGACTGGAAACCCTGCAGGCAGATGGAGAAAGCCCAATGAGTGTTTCATCCTTTATAACAGACTATGTTGCTAGGCCAACTTAAAACTCACTTCTTCCATGTAGTTTTTCATTGAGTGTCCCCCACTGGAGGCTTCTCCCTAGAGGCAAAGAGGAAGAGAGGTTGAAAGAAAGTCAGGAGGAGGAGAGGATAAGAATGAAAGAAAGCAGAGTTGCAGATAGTAGTGAAACCTGGGAAGAAACCCAAACCTTTAATATCCCCAGACCTTTTCACTCGATACTTGTGAGTTTATCAGTTTGGCAACTACTTACTCTTTGGAGGAAATATTAAGTTCTTCAAGCCAAAAATTTATCCTGTAAGTGGATTTAGTTCATATAAATGAATAACCACCTAGAGTAACTAATTAAATCTTAGGACAGAATGCTATATGAATTTTCTGTTATTAATTTTATAAATATGTTTCTAAGTTAGATTAGAAAAAAGTCACTAATTCTGTGTTGTATAAATTTGTGTGAATCTAAGACATGGACTTCAAATATTTTGTGGAAAGAGGTCATTAATTTGCCCTTTTCCAAATGTTTATATCCAATCTAATTCATCTTACTTGTATGTAATAGTAAATTCTCCATTATTTGTGCCTTTTACCAGTACTTCACTGAATGCTATTAATCACTGAGATTTAAATCATTGAGATTTAAAACATCAAATTAAACATAGGTCTTAAACTTATATAAATATTGTTTGTTAACACTTGCCAAACAGCTTGTTAGTGGAGACAAGTTATATTTTCACACTACATTTTACACAACATTTGGAAATAAATTCCGAGATATCATGAAATGATACCTGTTTTAAAAGTTAAAACAAATTCTAAAAAACCATAACGGGTTTTGAAAAGTAACTAAATAAATGTAAATACAGCTTACATTTGTTTCTATACAGTTCTTTTGTTTTTTTGTTTTTTAAATTGTCAAGGACCATCACTTACATTGTCTCACTTTATCGGTTTTTCACGACAACCTGAGGGCAAGATATGCTCAGGCCAATGTGATAAATAAGGAAATTGGGGAAAGAGTGGCTGAGTGAAAGGCTTCAAGTCAAGGAGGTAGGCAAGCACTGCCGGGACTGTATTCCAGTTGTACACTCTTTTACCTCTTGGAAATGAAAATTTAAAAATCATGAAACACCAAATTCACTTTAAAAAATGCTATGTATAATTGGAGAAGGAGGTGAAAAGTATCATGCCCACAGACGAGCAAACAACAAAGAACGCACAGCCCACCTGCTCAGACATAACCAAATAAAACAAAAAAGCAGGATGAAACAAACAAATCTACAATCAGTAAATGAGGAAAATAACCACTGAATGCCCCAAAGACAGCAGACAATATCAAAACATTTACAAAAACAGGACAGGATGGCTCCAGTAGACGTCCAAAACAAAACACCAGATGACATTCCAGTAGAAGAAAAGGCACTAGACCTAACTGATAGGGAATTCAAATCTGTAATATTCAGAATTATCCAAGAGTTGAAGCAAAAGCAGACAAAAATGAGGGAAAAATAGACAAATTCATGGAAAAGGCAGACAAGTTCATGAAAAATACAGACAAAAAACTGGAATAATTCAAGAAAATAATACAGGAACAAAATGCTAAAATAAATTCACAATTAGAAATCATACAAAAACAACAATTAGAAATCCAAGAGGTAAACAATAAGATTTCAGAAATCGACAGTATCATAGAAGGGCTGAGGAGTAGGTTTGAAACAATGGAAGATAGGACCAGTGAAATTGACGACAAACACTTGGACACAATTCTGTTTGAGGAAAAATCAGAAAAAAGAAAGAAGAAAAATGAAGAAACCCTGAGAATTACGTGGGATACAATCAAAGGCAAAAATCTACATGTGATCGGAGTTCCAGAACAGGGGGACAAAACAGAAAACACAGGATCATTGAAGAATTGCTGACAGAAAACTTCCCCAATATCATGAAAGATGAAAAGCTGACCATCCAAGAAGCTCAACGAACCCCATATAGGA